GAAAGCAAGTTAACAACAGTAGTGATAAGGGGTGGAGATTTAATAAGGGTTGGAGGAAGAAAATAATACAGTTAAGAAACAAACAAGCAAATATAACGAAACAAAATCCGTACTTGGTGTCAAGATAAGTCAAGTCCACTGCAGATTAATTGATTGAACAAATTTCTTTTGCTTGCAAAGTTCAGGATTTAAGATTTGAATTGCCATTGCTTCTGTGGTTTGAAGGAGTTTGATTTGTACTCTTTTGGCAAGATTCCCACATATTCTGTAGATAAATTCTAAGTCGTTTTCTGGGTTTGCTTGGTATCCTGATTCGATCAGGTAGTCCAGAATAGAGCTTCGGGGGCACCTTTTTTCTCCTTTATAAAGCTACGAGGTGTCCGATGATACGTTTGGACAGCAAACGCTTGGTAAGGCCGACATACCTATAGATGGGTATTTTAGCGTTCCTTCTTGTTAGCGTCTTGCTAATGGGACGTCCAGGAAAGATATTTTTGTGTCGGATTTTTTATCTAGTGTGAACTGAATTGCTGGATGGCAGCTGTTGAAGAAGTTCAAGATATTCACCAAATTCTCCTCATTGTCCGAGATAATGAAAGTGTTGTCCACGTATCTCTTGTAAAACCGAAGGATGTCAATCATTTTCTTTAGATGTGTGTTTTCTGGCTTTCACCTGAAAAAATCTGCAAGCAGCTGGCCAACTAGTGAGCCTATAACTATACCATCTTTTTGTCGACATATTTCGTAATTTAAGAGAATTGGAGGTTTGGGGCATTCACGTTCATTCTTTAAAATAAGTTAATTTGAAAATTTTCAGTCTTGAGAATAGTGATATTTCGTGAGTATGGCAATAGATTCCATGTTATAGAGAACGGAAACGTAGCCTTACATCCACTGACAAAAATCCATTGACTGCTTAAAAATGACTTCAGCTTGTTCGCTTCTCCACACTACTTACTAGCGTCATCGGCAGTTACCAGTACAGTTTTGTTTCCCGTATCGATCAACCAGTCACTTCAAGAATAGTGATACAATCAGTTTGAGAGTTAAAACACTACATTCGAGTGGTTTTTCTCTTCCTTTCGATTTCATTCTACTTAGTTTTACTAATTACCTGAGAGATGATATGCCAAAAATGAAATAAGTGATTGGCATTAGTTGGTGCGTCAGTGGCACAGTGGTTAGGACTCTCGCCGACCTTGCACATGGTCCGGGCTTCGAGCCCTCGCCGACGCACACCTGACATCTATGGTCGATCTGCGAAATTTGGGCTACCGATATCCACGCTGAAAATTCCATACTTGTACCAAAAATACGGTTTGTAATCAAGCTGTAATCAAAAAAAAAGAAAAAGAACCCTACGGATCCATATGTTCCAAAAAGTTTTCCTATCTATTATTAGCTGTATAGAAATCATCCAGATTTCTTTTTTATTTTCTTAAGGCTTATGTACTTCACTACTAAGTAGTTAATAAACTCCTAAATTTCCCCTGTGATATTTTAGTGAACGAAATTTGAGTGAAAATTATTTTCCGGTATCTGTTATACCCAGATAAAATGACAGTAGGGTTAAGCTACTTATACTAAACCTAAGAAAAGATCTGTAGAGATTAATCTTTTGAACTTCCTATAAACACTTGCAGCATTATCTTTCCCAGTGTGCTTGTAACCCAAGTCAGTTATTAATGAGCTTTACGCATTACTAATCAACGAATACTTACAATTAGTTTGTGCCCAATCCATTAACACCGTTTTAATAACATTTTTAGATAGATGGTTGTTTAATTGGATTTGGTTTTATACATTATTTAATTCGCCAGTTATATGCTTATTTAGGCTATATTGGATGACGACAAGTAAGATGTCTTACAAATAGCATTTATGTTCAAGTTTACATTACATTTAGTTTCCGCCTAAGACGGCAGTAATCATTTAAGTAACTAGTGAGAAATCGAGTGGTATGAAGACACTTTCAAATAAAATACCGCCAAGTATACATGCAGTCGACTCCGCTCTACCAGTCTACACTTGTTCACAGAGATAGATTATCTGAGACTCTAGACTTAAGGTGGGTGAATGAAAGAGGCGAATACTACATAGAAGTGCCGAAGACGCAATAAATGCCCCTACAGTATTCGTAGCCGCTGGATTATAAAGATAGTTTATATGATATCCTTTTAATCCCTGACTTTCTTTTTCATCATATACAGTAGCGTTTGCAGAATAAATAATAAAAATGAGTATTATTTTTTAAGATGCCAGGAATCCTGTCATAAAACATGACTTTTCCATTACCCAGTTAAATAAATTATTCTACGTGTGTGCATGTGCGTCAGTGAAAAGAACAAGTATCACGTCATGTACTGAACCATAAGTATATTTTGCCAATATTCTCTAGTATGTGTATCTATTCAACAGTCCATCGTTTTTAAGATAGACTGTCTATCTTGATGAAAGGCAAACAAGACTGTGAAGTTTGAGTATACATATGCATTAGAATTCAAACCATTCAATCTCAGCAAAAGTAATGATTATAAATTCGCCTAATTTAAGTCAGACGATATACAAAAATGCTGCCGATAGCTTAAAACAAAGAAAAAAATAAATATCAGAAGACAGGTAACTAGTGACTGATGACAGTCGTGGAAGAAATAAAGGACATCCAATTTATAATCTCAACTGGGACAATTGCATCATACTGCTCTGTGTTTAACACTCTCCTTATTGGATGACTAAATTGTTTACAGCCGGGATATTTTCAGAAGCGAAATGGGAAAGACGTATTTTGAGGATAATAAGTGAATATTGTTTACTGGTTATCATACGTTCACCTCCACATTTAAATGTATTTTAAGGAATCGTTGTGAAACGCTTCATTTTATTTATTTCCTCCTTTTAATTAGATTGTGTAGCTGCCGTTACTTTCAAATTTAATTATCAACCTTGAAATATGATGTATGGTGTATACTTAATGAGCACTAAATTTGAATGATCGATAAAAAACATTAACAAGTATAAAAGTTAAGTCCTTTCAAAGGCTGGAGATGATCAAAAATCTATCATACAGTTATTTTGTATGTCTATTCTTAACAACTTATCATCTTCATTTCACATTATATGTTTCTGTGAAAAGTCTTATAGACAAAGACTAACATTTACTCAAGCAAACAAAGCAAACAAATTTGAATTCATCTGCCTAGCGACTGAGCTGTAGAAAATGGAAACAATACATTTCAATAAAGTACAGGCAGTATTTAATACTATTATTTCCAGTGCTTAAAACAGCGTCTGACCGTTCATCTGGAATCTATTGCTATATTTCAAAAAAAATTAGAACGTTTTACACATCGGTTTACAATAAGACAAAGTTACGTGGTGTTTAGGTAATTACGTTTTTTTATGACCTTCGTAGACATATACGTCAGTTACGATCTACAGAACTTGTCTACTATAGGGTTTAAACAGGAAAAACCCAGCATAGAATTTCACAAACATAGATTTGACTTCTTCAATTCTGCAGAACGAAGTAACATCTGGTAAAGACTAATACCGTATGTGACTAACAAGCAGTCGATAACTACCGGTTCTATTTCCAGATAAAAGAACGCCTAATAAATCGTAAATACTAGTTGAAATTAAACAAATTCTTGATAAATATTGACATGATACAAGGGTAAGCATTTAAATACACTAACCATGACAAAATTGACAGCATATTAGTTTTATTGCCAGATACTATCAGGACATGAATGATTTTAGGTGAATTGCTATCTTAAATAACAGAGGCAGACTTGTGACTTGGATGCACCTCCTGTGTAAACAGCGTGTTTCTAACTCCCATCTTCAGTGCAATACATTTCATTAAGCGTAGCGTTCCTTTCACTCTTAAAATTAACGAGCCTATGGTCATTACACGCTTCAACCTAATAGTTAATCAGCAGACATTTAGAACCGATTTTTATAACCATGAGATAAGCTTTGGAATACCAGCAGTATATTACTAATTACAAAACTATAAAACTCAGGCAAAAGGCTGAAAACAAAAAAAGATACTGAAGACCATTATCCCCACAGAAGTAAAAATTCTGCATAATGACTGCAGCAACACATCACAAAGTAAAAATATCCGGAAAAATTTATTGAATTAACCCAAACCGATGTAAGTAGATTGTTGTTAGCTAGTAAACTTTTAATTTCATGCACTTCTTTGATAAAAGATTCATGCACTTCAAACCCAAAAAGAAACTCAATACATTGTGCACACTAAGACATTAGAAGTGTGGCATTGTGTATTTTAAAAAAATAACTACTCTTATCATCACTTAGTACCTCCTCAAACCTTTGTCTACTAAAAATAAGGTGCGGCATGCTTTGGGAAACCTAAAAAGGATGAGAATATTTGGTATAATTTAGAAGTTCCCCCCTTGTTATTTAGGGGACACCATTTACCATATATTCCTAGATTTCCCAAATAGCTGTTTCGTGTTTCACGATTTCCAGCCCTTCCTTCCAGCTTTTTTCAAGACAAGGTCAAACTTATACACTATATATATATAAACATTCAGTATTGATCAGGTTAGGATTTTTATACACAATGCGTATAAGTTCTAATTACTACAGAAGGGCCAAATGCTAAATAGTTTGTCTGGTTACTACTATTTGTACACACTCAAAACAACAACTTGGAGTAAAACCAGTGTTTCTCCAGATTCCTTATTACTCATGAAACATAAATCCACACATTATATCCAGTAAGAATCAGCTGGGGTGCAAAATCACCGGACATACAGCAAGTATATCTGCTATAAACAATATGATTATCGTACGGAAAAAGGAAATGAAAGAAGCCTTGATTTGTACTAATTTGACTGAAACCACATAGTTTCTTGTCTAGCAAAATGAAATCATACGTATGGCAAGCAATATAAATAAAAAATACCCAAATTTCTTCCCAAGTGAACGCCATTCAATGTATGACGTGATAAGCAAGCAATACCTACCATCAGTATATTTGCGTATGGCTAACGAAGTAAAAGTAATAAAGCCATTAAGTGACATGGTCGTATATGATATACAAATGCATATGTGTATTTGATTACTAAGTATTAAGGTCGCTTACATACAATAAAACATATAAAACTGGCATCTTTTGACTTCGACCGATATAAAAAACGGAAATGTAACTCGCACTCACCTATATCACAACCGGCATGGGAAATTGTCTCCGCTTTGCGAACTGGTATAAACATTTGCTTACGACTATCCTCGAAGATTTGCTGCCAGTCAATAGTAAAACCAAAGTTGCAGAGAAACTGATTATTAAACGCCACTATATGATTGCGTTGAATAGCTGAAAAGATAAACAACAAGAATCTAATGTCGCTTTGTATAAAAATATGAAGTTGAACCCAAAACAACTCTTAGTTTCACACAGATGAAGACCACTAGATCGGATTTAAGACGTGATCTGATATGACAACGAAATCTCTCAATACTGCAGGGCAAGTACACCTTAAAGTAATACTTTTCAACTTTTATGGAGGAAGTATCACTTCTGGATGGCAAAACTAAGTAATATTATTATGCCGTGATAGAAGAAACACTGTTAAAAGTCTTTAATTGTTTCGGTTAGAAAGTTCTATAGTTTAAACGTAAAGGACTTCTGTATTTTGAAGATAAGTAAGTGAATTGACGTCATGCATGCTGGTAAAAGAAATAAAGAGCTAGCGTCATACAACCTGCATGCTGATACAATGCAATAAAATGCAAGTGTTTTGTGAAATCACATCCTGAAATTTAATAAAGAATCACATAAAGAAATCCATACAATTAAAGGCAGAAATTTTAGAGTGGCATTAACAAAGGTGCTAAAGGGTTCCTATACTTAATTTAAGTGATTATTTTTATAAAGAAAAGCACCCTCAATAAAAAAACCAGAACTTTTGATAAAAATAGCTACTAGAATAGGGCTATTTGAAAAATGGAGTAACCTGAACTTATCCACAGATTTTACCGACCTTTTAGGGAACCCCATTAGAAGACACTATACAAAATGAACCAGAGTTTGTGATGCAACATGTGCACTGCGAATAAGCAATAGCAGAGACAAGTTAATGAATCCAAAAAGGGATTCGAGCTATTTTGAAACACACGACACTTATAAAGCAGTAAATTTTCTTCGAAACTTAGCTGTTCACACTGTGTTCACACGAATCAACTCTGTAGGTGATTTTCGAAATAGATTCTTCATTTACAAATTAAGTCGCATGTGTATAATAATACGTGCTACAAATAGGATGATTTGTGATACAAAATTTTTACACAAATCACCCAAAAAATAATCAGAAATATGTCTCTTAAAAAATTAAAAGATATATTGTCTGTAGGAGTTAGTCTACCTGAAGCATGAGCAATATCTTACACGAAAGTGTAGTACATCAATTCACTATGTTATATGGAACCACCTTCAGGAAACCATGCTGCCTACTAACTCACTCCAGATTTAAATATGGAAGAAAATATATTTTTAAAGAACTGAGTCCGGAGAAGCACCAGGTTGTGTTTCTCAACTTAATGTATATTTGGTAGCCAAAATATCCTTTCGAATAACACCGAAGACAAAATACATCTATTCTTTGCGTTTAAGTTATCAAATAAGTGAAATCCATAATGGACTCAATCTATTTTACAGGAGTAGCAAAGACTAATTGATAAAAAACGCGGTTATACCTAAAAGAGAGAAGTGGTTAATATTCAAAAACAAGTGATCACTGTTTAAGTATCGAAAAGTATGAAAAACACTCACATGTTAAGCTTCTTAAATCAAGTATTTCAAGAGTGTTTCGGTTTACCACAAGTGCAGCACTTGTGTTCATAATAGGGTATCCCGGTTCACCTCGAATTACTTTTAATGATGGCAAAGATATTGATTTTACATTATTCCTGCCAATATACACGTAACCAGATACATCCTCAATTTTTCCAAGGAAAGACAGGTCAGGATCAGATCCATTAACTGGCAAAATCGTAATAGCCATTTAGCAATCTTACCAAGTTTCTCAAGTCCACATAAAACTAAATTTCCAATTATATGAGTACATCCCCCATACAGAAACTTGATATACGCAAGTTGTATGTGTTTCGGATTAGGTTTGTTACAATCCCGCTCCCAAACTCGGCAAGCTACAAAACTTAATTGGAATCATCTACAAACCTTTGATCCATGGATATTCTGATATAGTGAACTTCAAAGACCGGCAGTTGACAACTAAACACCAAATTAATTATACGAAAATTATTACCGAAAATCAAAACTAAAATTATCACAGGAAAATTCATTTAAAAGATGCTTTGCATATAGGCATAACACTGATGGTAAGTAGCGTTTTAAAAATTGCCAAACAGTTTTGACCTGAAAATATTTGTTAACAATGCAGATAAAACTTTTCTTCTGAAACAAGTGACTCTACATACAGTTGCATAAAATGCTGTATTAAACCACTTATTATGTTGTACCTTCGCGTTGGTGGCTAAGGGGTTAGGACGTTCGCCGACCATGCTCATTGTCCAGGGTTAGATCCCCGGCCGACGTACTCCTTTACCTCGCTGAACTAGGCATAAAAGCTGGTTAAGAGGAAAGGTTGAGCATGAAGCTAGCAACCCCATCCTGTAAAAATAAACACTACCACAGAAACTCCAAGCATCTAGCTTGAAGCCCAATATTCCCCTGGGAATGTGAAGGAATAAAAGATATTATACCTTAAATCACTGTCAAAGGCTGCTTTAAAGGAGGATAATTTTTCGCCGCTATGTTACGGTTCTTGATTTCTGAAAGGTATCCAAGTGGTCGGCCCAACCAACTCTCTTTCTTTTAAATCAGATAGCAATTCGAAATCAGTAACATGACTGATCTCGTCGTTTTAAACTTGATTTTTTCGCACTCACCCAAGAAATATGGCAATCGAAAGAAGAACAGTGAAGTAACAAAGGAGTTGAAAAGCTACTAGAAATGACATCAGAAATAAATGGTGGATTATTGAAGACAATACGAAGCGTGGGGACGATTCGGAGCTATCTTAGCATCATGTTCCTAAATGCTTGACTCCCTCTTAGAAAACAGCCTGCTATTCAGGCATTGCCATATCTCTGTGAAACTTGCACGAGCTCTTCGTTTGCGTGAAGAAAGACCGCAATGACCCACGCTGCCTGGAACGACCACTACTGAGTGGTGCGAACGATAAGTATCAGCTGGCTCAGTTACCATTCTGGTTATGTCCTTTCTTCTATTACGGGAAAAATTTATTTTGGTAAATTCTCACAGTGTTATATAGAAATATTTACTGATGACATCTACAACACAATTGATTGCTCATAATCATGTCAGATTCTTTCTTCTCAGTAAATTCATGGCCTTCACAAGAGCAATCTGTAGTTACCGGCTGTCTGACCTCATTTCTTTCACTTCGAGTAAGTGTGTAACCAAACGGATATGGCTTTTTCGGACAAATATGATGTTTTCCATTCCGTAAACAGGCCGGTTCACATTAAATCAAGAGAAAATACATGTAGCTGCAAAAACATACATAATCTAGCTCTAAAATTCGCTCTTTTTAACCGTCATGGTGCAACTCCTTCGCACTTTTTTACATGGCTACAGCTAACGGTGTAAATAATAGGACACAAATGGATTAGCATCAAACGATTCGTTTTTCGTTAGTTAAAAGACTTCAAAGCATGTAACCGAAAATTTTAAAAGTAAACGCTTTCCTCCATGATACACCACAATTTTACTGGAGCAAAGGGATGTTGTCTGTTTGTATACTTGAAAGAAAAAGTTTAGACATCGAAATATAATCTAAGTACTTGGAACTCAAGATTTAGGAGTTTGTATAGCTTTGATAATGAGTTAAAAGCTGGAAAGTTGAATCGATAATGGCCGAGGTAACTTTCCTTATCGTTGATAATCGGGGAACTCAGTTAACTTTTCGACTTAGAGGCACACATTATCCTTCAGTAAGGCAACTAGTCTAAATTGAATATCTAAGTTATTGTGCAGTATTGATGTTTTTCTCGATATGGATGTGTATTATGCACTTTATCTTACACCCCGATTAAAAGACATTTCGAATGGGATATTTTAGATTGGCTTCACATGTTTGTTGGCTCACACCCCCTTGTCATCCTTCCCCATGCAATCGTCTTGTTTGACGCGACCGTTAAAAGAAACAGATAACTGCAGTAATTCTCGGATATCTGAGTAGCACAACGTCCCTCACGATTTAACCTGGCTTCAGAAACAACTAGTCCTGAGGTTTAAACTTTCTCGCAGCTGTATACTATTCGATAGGATCCTTATATCAGAAATTCCTGAACAAGTTATATCTGGTTTGCGTTAATATGGTGGTAATAAAAAAACATAGTACTGAGGAAATTCCGGATTCCCAGATGTCAGCCACGTCTCGTAAACCGTTAATGCCCAGCTCTTGATACACTCGGGCTCACGCTGTTCCTCGAAGTTTCTCAAAAACGCTAAGGAATAACGGACAAAAAAAACAAAACACCAATTGGCGAGTCGAGAATTCTTTATTGTAACACCAACATATAAACAATGTTACAAATAAGGTCTGTGAACAAATATTACAATAATAAATCACAATATTTGTCATCAAAGTCTCATAAACCGGTAATGCCCAGCTCTCGCTACGCTCGGGCCCACGCTGTTCCTTGGAGTTTTCAGAAACGCTTAGTTATAACGGACGAAAAAACCAAAACACCAATTGTTGACTTGAGTATTATGTATTGTTACACCAGCATATAAATCAAGTATCACTAAGCAAACTAAGAAAACTAAGGTCTGTAAACAAATATTACAATAATAAATCGTTATGTTACTTCTAACGATGTTTAACTCTTCTTTCTGAACAGCGACCGATGAGACGATGACTGTCGTATTGATGCCTCCGCGAAAATCGAGGAAGTTGATTTTGAGCAAACAACCAAGAATTGATCGTTCAATCTTCAACTCCATTGACACTCCCCGGCAAAAAAGGGATCCAACCCTTTTTTCCTTCACGACCAATGCACGTTGACTTGGATGCCATTGCGAGAACCTGGGTCACACGGACAGAGCTGAAATGGAAAACAAACAGAAAAGCCAACACACCACAAGCATACCCACAGCACAATCTCACACATCAATGACGACCTGCGCCTCCAGACAGAGACCTCCTCTTGACATCTTGCAACACCGTCTCCACTTGCTAGAATGACTCTTGCAGAATGCAAAGTGACCATGGCAGCACCTCACGATACTCTACGCACATCCTCTTATCTACTCATTACCAATTACCACTGAAATCGCTTGTCACTCATTCTGCCTCAGTTCTAGTAGCGGTGACGCATGCGAGCCTCAGTCGTTTACACTCTTTCTCCCCGGCGTGTCGGACCGCAGCTAACAATTATCTCCGTGTGCATTTCATTCTCAGCAATAGCCTCCCCGGCGTATACGACCCATCTGCTGTCCTTAACATCAATCAATTCATTCACGGATGTAGAAGACTGGCCACAACTTCAGAAGTAATCACGACGAAAATTTTAACAAAATTATGCAATAACAACAAGGTACGAAAACAACGAGTAAACACAATGAATCCAAATAACACCAATTGATATGACACACCAAACGTATATACAAACAGTACACACAACCTCGCATTTCATGTCTTGATGGAATTCCCTTGAAGAATTGCAGGACTTACACCAGTACGCCTACAACCCTTCACAGGTTGACGATTGTAAGTTGTGGAATGTCCGGACACAAACAAGATTAACCAACAATTACATCAATTGGAACTCACACAACTATTTAACACAAACATATGTACAATCAACACATCAAATGTTGTGGATTCTGACACGACAAACTACCCTTGAAGAACTGTAGGACTTACAGCAGTACGCCTACATTCCTTCTCAGGTTGATGATCCAAGTGGAAGTCGTCCGGACACAAACAGAATTACCAACAGCTAGATGATAAATGATATCAATTCAGTATATACAATATGAACATATGTACAAAATCACACACCAAGCACATTGGACTGCTCATTGATGCGCTACCCTTTGAAGAATTGTAGGACTTACAGCAGTACGCCTACAACCCTTCTCAGGTTGACGCCCTAGGTTGGAAAATCGTCGCAGAGTTCATTTGCTAACTTCCTTCTATCAGCTATATCCTCAAATCTGAACGGCAACACGCCCATGTCATTGTATCGTAGAATATAGATGACCAACAAACACACGACATATCTCATCAACCAAGTATAGAAACAGAGTAATTTACACCAAAGATAATAACATTCAAATAGTAACTTGAAACTAGAAATGCCTTTATTCGTGCAAGTCAATTTAACAATTACTCTCTCCTTTACACTTGGCTTATCCACACTAAACTGACCATTGATATTCGTCCTTTCAAACGAACTGATACTACCATAGTCATTGCACAAGATACTTGAGTTGATGGGCATCTGTTTCATTGTGGATGAAAGCACCAACGATGACTGAGTGACACAAGGTGATGAACTTAGTGGTGGATCAGAAGCTGTTCTTGTTCGGCTCTCAGATAGTTGTCCAACTGCAAGATTACCACCACTGCTGTCTTTCACTACTAGTTCGGGTTTAGCACTATCATCTGATGATAGGTGGGCTACATGCTGATCAATTACACTGACTGTCTCACAAGTATGCACGCCTTCTGGAACTGCATCTGCGTTCATTTCTACTTCACGTTCAAGTTGTACAGAACCTTTATTTAACTTAGCAGTAGTAGGCATATCCCTCATTTCATCATGATCAACCAAAGACAAATCTGCACTATCATGATCATTATCACATATATTCAATTTACCGTCAAGTTCATCATTTTCAAACTCTTTAATAACAGAAGTAGACAATTTTGGTTCCTCCTCACAAATCATTAAAGGTTTTATATCTTCACTCTGACTAGTTATACTTTGTAAACTTGTGGAGTCAGAACTCCACTCTGAAGCAGTAACTCTATTCTGTGACACTCTATTCAACAACGGCTTACCAGTTGCAACTACAGACTTCTTCACAACACCGTTATCGTCACACAATTCGGAGTCAGACCTGGAGTTTACATTTAGCTTATCACTGAACTTGCTCACCGGTTCACAGTTCACTTCTGTATGCACCTCTTGCACACGTGTCAAGC